GGCTCAGTCTTTCAAAGGCTCACCTCCTCCAGGCTGCCTCCCAGACTGCCCCCTTCCCCAGTCTCTCCTCCCACTCTGCCTCTGCTCCTGACCCCCTCACACCCCAGCCTCAGCACTGAGGAGGAACAGCCCTTCCCCGCCCCCACCCTGCCCCGAGCAGCCCAACCTCTGGGCCACCCAAATCCCGGCCACCCCCACCACACTCGTGTCTCCTGCTGACCAGGCCTGCAGACGGAGAGCTCACCTCCTGGCCACATCACTCAGCACCTCAAACCCACCGCCACCCACAGCCACTTCCGCCTGCTCACCGCGGGCAGCGCCGCACCCCTGCTCGCCCTCCGAGGGCAGGAGCTGCTTCCCCGCCCCCTGCCCCGTCCCCTCCTCCGCGTAGGCCCGCTCTACCAGCCCCTGGTCTCCAGGTTCCCAGGGATCTTCCCCCAGGGATTGGCCGCATGCCTTCTCTACGGCTCAGACAGAGGCATTGGCCACAGCCTCTTCCCACCGTCCTGGGGGCACTACTCGGATGGATGTGAGCCTGTACACAGGCGGGGTCTAATAGCGCACACTCCCCCACTGGCCTCTCAATGTTTACCAAGCCCTGCAGGGTTCAGGAGTGCAACTCCGAAGACCCCTGTGCAGACAGCGCAAGGGCTGGCTGTGGGGCGTCCCCACGGCCCCTCGGCAGCCTCCACACAACAGCAAAAGCGCAGGGAGCTGGGAAGCTGGCCCCGGAGAGTCCCCTTGGCTCCACCTGCAGGGGCCAGGGCAGCCCCCTCCACCAGGCAGGAGGGTGGGAGGTAGGGACCCTGCGGGAGTGATGGAGAACTGCTCCTCGCTGCCCGCCTGGGCCCAGCACACAGCACCTCCTAGGCTCTGGGCCGGGGCTCGGGGTGTTTACCCCTGCTGCAGGCCACGCGGGCAAAAAGGGCCAGAAGCAGCGCTGGGACCCAGGCTGGTCCCCCCCGACCCCGCAGCCTGTGCTCGGCCCGCAGGGGCCAGGGCCACGAGCCCCCAGGGCTGCAGTCTGTGTGTGCGACATGGGGGGAGTGGGCCCTGCAGGACCCACTCCTGGGGGGGCTGGGGGTGGGAGGCAGCCCAGGGTGCGGGAGCAGGAGGCCCGGGGCCTGGAAGGAGTTAACTCCGTGAGCGGCCTGAGTGATTCAGAGGCTCCGCAGGCTGCGGTGGAAATTCCCTGTGCGAGGCGTGTGGTCACCCAGAAAAGGGAAACGATGCTTTTCGGAGCAGGGGACGGCGGGGGCTGGAGGCCGGGAGCAGAGGCCTGCCACGGGGCGGGGGGCTGGCAAGGGTTCTGTTGCCCAAGGGGGCCAGACTTCCAGCGCTGCTCAGGCCTTGTGCAGGAAGACGGAAGGCTGGCTGGGGCTGGTCATGCTACACGGTGTCCCTGGGCCTTGACGGGTGGATAGGAGTTCACTAGGCCCAGAGGAAGGACAGGCACTTGAGGCCGTGGGAACCACTGCAGCCCAGGCACGGGGGTGTGACTCAGCCCCGGCTGGCACCCTGTTTCCTGTCCTCTCAGGGGCCATCCCAAGGAGCACCTCCCCCCTACCGGGGGCAACACGCAGTGCCCCTCCCCTGCAGCCCACCGCCTCTGAGACCCTCTCAGCTCTGTGGCTGCGTACCTCACCTGCCTTCCCCACCCGACCATGGGCTCTGCAGGCCGGGGCTCAGTCCCAGCTGTAGAGACGGCCTGCAGCCAGCGTACAGCCGGCACCCGGCCCTGGTGTGAGGCCGACTTCGCACAAGTGGGATCAGAGCGGCTCAGGGAGGCGAGGTGTGGGACTCAGCCAGCCAGCTGGGGCAGAACAGGCTCGGGCCAGGGCCTTTCCTCCCCAGGACGGGGTGAGGCGGCAGCAATGGGCGGGCAGAGCCTTTGCTGCGGGCTGGGCAGGGGCCGAAGGCAGGGAGCACCCGGCCCTGAGACAGCCGGGCTGCATGTAGGGCTCCGTGGCCCAGGCCTGCTCCTCTGTCAAGTGCAGGCCAGCCCTGCTCCTGCCCTTGTCACAGTGCTGGGGCACGGGCCGGGAGGGCCCCTGAGGCACGGGCTGGCGCGAGTCTTCCTGAGGGGACCCAGAATCTCGGCGCAGACGCCTTCGAAGGCCGTGTGCGGCCCGGGCCCTCCCTCGCTGCCCCTCTGCAGTGGACTCGCTGGAATCCACCTGCTCCGTTCTGAGGGACGTAAGCTGGGCTCCTGTGACCCAGCGAGGGCGGCTGGCTAACGTCAGGAGTGAAGATGGCTATGGCATCTGTCGTCCTGCCTGGAGCCACTGCCGGTTTCCAGGCAGCACCAGGCTGGGGCCTGGGGCCCTCTGTCCCATCTCCATTCTGCTTCAGGCGTGAGACCCTCACAGGCGCAACTGGAGGGGAGTGAAGGCTGGGGCCTCCCGTGTCCGCCAAAGGCCCCAGGCGCTCCAAGTCCCCCGCAGCCCCCAGACTCCCACCCCTACAGGTCCCCTGCGAAGACCAAGGGTGCCGGGAGGAGCCTCCCCCCTCCCTGGCCAGGCGGGGGCCTGCAGTGCCAGGGCGGCCATTAGAGTTGGAGCTTTTCCAAGCGTGAACAGGAACTGAGAACTGTGGGAATGTGCCTTGTGCAGGCTGGGGCGGGCCGGGTTGGTGGGAGGGGGCCGCTCCCCAGGAGCTCCGACAGATCCGGGGTCCTGGGGTGAAGAGGGGAAGGGGACCCCCAGGCAGGTGCCTATGGCTGGCGCGGGGGGAGGTGGCTGGGGTGGTGGGGCCGGCAGGGCGTCCAGGGCTGGCTGGGCAGTGGGAGGCTGGGGAGCCAGGCGCGCAGGGAAAGAGGAAGCCCTGGGGAGTGGGGGAGGGGGCTGCTGGGGATGGAGTGGGAGTGGGGGCTGGGGGCCTGGAGCCACTTTGGCCACAGCCCACTTCACTTCTCCCGGTTTCGGTTTGTGCGTAGCCGCCAGCTCCGCGCAGGCCAGATGGGCCCTGTCCCTTTGCGGCCTGTGCCCAAGGAGGCCCAGGCCCAAGGAGCTACCAGACACTCAAACCTTGGATTTGAGGACGGCCGGGGGGCACAGCCTGGGCAGGCTCTGGTGGGCCCAGCTCTGGGCAGCCCCAACCTGTGGTCACTGAGGGAATGCAGCTGGCCGGAGGAGCGACGGAACTTGATGACTTGGCCACACGGGGCTTATTTATAACTGGGCCTCCCTCCGAGGCCAAAAGCAGCTGTGGAGCTGCCAACTCAGCACCCAGGCTGGCCCAAGGCACCCAGGCCGGGCACGGGATGGCGAGGGCCAGGCTCGTGGCCCCACAGCCTAGCATCTCCTTGGCTGTGGCTGTGGCTGGTCCCTGTGCTCCGCTGGGCACACACCAGGGTTTAGGGGGCACTACCTATGGGGCAAGCACCTCAGAACCTTCTGGACTCTGGGGGAGGGGAGGGTGGCGTGTGTGGCTGAACTTGGCCAGTGCCCAGGACTCTTTGACCTTGGCCATCCTGCACAGTCAGATGCTGTCCACAGCGCAACAAGAAGCAGAGTCATCTCTCCTCGCCTTCTTGCAATAGCAGCTTAACAACAAAGCAGCCTCGGGAAGAGGGCAGCTCTAGATGTGGCGAAGGCCAAGGCCTCGCTCTGCTCCATCCCGCAAACGGCCACTCAAAGACACGCGAGGGAGGTGACGACCCCCTTCCCGAGCTTTGCAGGACAAAGAGGTCCCCACAGCTTTCTCCTGGGGTTGGGGTCCTTCCAGATCAACTGGCACCCACAGCTCTCGCCCTGTCCCGCTGGGTCCTCGGCCACCCAGCTCCCAGCCCTGGTCCAGGCGCGCCCCACGGGCATTCCCTGGCCTGCCTCCCGCCAGCCTCTGTGAGTTCCCTCTCAGTCAAGATCAAGGTTGATGCCAGCTCCCACCTTGGTGGGCCCCAGGCTCAGCATTGTCCCCACCCACAGCTTGGGTTCCTGGTATGGAAAGCTCAACAGATGTGCCAACTGGGGCAGAAATGCGTGAAGGAGTGAGGGAATTCAGAGCGCGGCCTGAGTGTGTGAGACGGGGCCAGGGGCGTTCAGCGAGGAGAGGAGAGGGCCGAGCCCAGAGCCTCCCGTGTCCAGACTCCCAGCCCACAGCTTTCACCCCCCGACCTCTGACCTCCCACACCACCTGCTCGGCCAGAGCAACGGCCCTGCCCGGCCTCTTCCGCTGGGCGGAAGCTACTGGGGCCCTGGGGCAGGATGGGGGCCTGGTGTGGGGGGAACACAGGCTACCCACTGCCAGGGGCTGGAGCCTGGGGGTGGTGGGCCCACTTAGGCTCTTCTGGGCAGGGTCGGGGCGCCCAGCCTGGAGCCAGCCGGGCTGCAGCTGCCCCGTTTCCACATCGGCAGCAGCAAGGCCGGCGCCTGTGAAAACAGGAAGCGCCCGGTCACCACAGGAAGCATGTGTGTGCCGCCTCCCCACCCCCGGCCCATTGCAAAACGCCAACAGCCCCATTACCACAGGCAGGCCCAGGGGCTGCGAGAAATGCGCGGGCCCGCACAGCCTGCGTGGGAGCCGGGCGCCCACTCTGCCCTCTTTCTCAGGCCCCGGCCAGGCCTGGGGGTTACCTCTGCATCTCCCAGGCCTCGGCCTCGGGCCGTCCTGCCTCTGGCCTCTCGGCCCAATCCCCAGAGCCAGGCCTAGGCCAGGCCTACTTTGGCTCCCCTTAAATCAGGATACAGGGTCAGGGGTCACGGAGAAGCCATCGCCCCGGCCTGCAGCGTCCCACCTGCAGGAACCTGACAGGGCCCCGTCCCCAAGCCTTGCTGGAGCCGTTGGCCCAGAGCCCGCCACCCTGCCCCCGCCCCCCAGGACCCCAGGGAGCCTGCTGATGGCAGACCCACACCTGCCACACCCTCTGCCCAGCCTCAGCCCTTCCCAGCCGACACTCTGCCCGCCCTAGGGTAGGGGGTGGGGTGGGGGGGTCTGGTCCCCGGCTTGCCTCTGGGAGGCCTGGGCCCCTCCTGGTCCCCCCGCCGCCTGCCCCAGCTCACCTCTCGTCTCTGGCCCCAGGCTCTGGGCCTTGGAGGGAGGCAGGAGTCCTGCCAGGCCGAGGCCTGGTGCCCGTGGAGGCCTGTGCTCCTCCAGCCCCGGGGACAGCAAGGAAAAGAGAAGAGAGCAGAGCATTTCATGGCTATAATAAATCAAAGGGGGAAGTCGGAGCAGGAGAAATAAGAAACTTCCCTACCCCGGGCATGGGGACCTGCCCGGCAGCAGCCCCCGGGGTGCCCCGCGGCCTCCCCTCCTTCCTCCTGCCTCCTGGCTGGCGCCCAGAGCTCTCCTGAGGGCCAGGCTCCCGCACCTGCCCGGGGGCTCCCTGACTATTCAACACGCCTCCTCACTGTGCACCTGTGGCAGCAGCGGGGGGCGGGGGGCGCAGGGGGTTCTCACATCTGTGGGCCTCAGTTTCCTCCTCCTCAAAGCCCATTATGGGTCGAGTGCCCGGCTGGGGAGGGCAACGGCCAGGCTGAGATGGGCGGAGCCCCCTCTGGACCCAGGACCCTCCGGAGACAAAGGGAAGGGTGAGAACTATTAGTGGGACGGGTGGGGCTGGACCACAGCAGCATCTGGGAGAGGTCAGCGCGCAAGGCAGAGGAAGGCAAGGCAAGGGGCCTGCCCTGGACTGTGACCACCCACGGGGCCGGTGTGGGGCCCATGGAACCCCAGGGTGCAGCTCCAGCCCGCCCAGAGTGCCCGTTCGAGCAGGAGATGGAGCAGCAAATGACCCACACGGTAATGGATGCAAACTTGAGCGGATTTTTAAGGTCAAATAAGGAAATTCAGAAACTGGGGCTAGTTTGGGGGACTAGCAAGGCCTCCTCTTGCTCCCCAGCTCTTGTGAGAGGCTCCCAGTGCCTCTCCTGGAAGCCCTCCTAAGACGGGGAGCTCACTCCCTTACTCCAGAAGTCCCTGCTCCCACATGGAGTAAATCCTGCTCAGCGCTGCCTCCCGACAGCTGTGAGCCTAGAGCCCCGAGCTCTTGGGAGAGAGTGGCAGGGCCGGGGCTCCCTCGGGGCTCCCTCAGGGCCTGTTTCCCCACGTGTAGGGCAAGGCCCACATTGGTCCATCTGCTTGCTACCTTGTCAGGAAAACAGGGAAATAAAATGCCAGCCACTGCGGACGTTCAGGTGACAAAGCCAGGCAGACCCAGGGCGTGGCCGAATCTGTGGCCCTAGGAGAGTGACCTCACCCCTCTGAGCCTCAGCCTCCCCGTCTAGAAAATGGGAAGATGGATGCCTGCTTCAAAAGTCTGCATGGGGGGCGCTGTGGTGCAGCGGATTAAAGCTCCAGCCTGCAGTGCCAGCTTCCCGTATGGACACCGGTTAGAGTCCCGGCTGCTCCACTTCTGATCCAGCTCTCTGCTGTGGCCAGGGACAGCAGTGGAAGATGGCCCAAGTCCATGGGCCCCGGCACCCACGTGGGAGACCCGGAAGAAGCTCCTGGCTCCTGGCTTCAGATCGGCATGGTTCCAGCAGTTGCAGCCAACTGGGGAGTGAACCAGCGGATGGAAGACCTCTCTCTCTCTCTCTCTCTCTCTCTCTCTCTCTCTAACTCTTTTAAATAAATAAAATAAATCTAAAAAAAAAAAAAAAGAAACTCCCAGAAGCCCCCACTTCCTCCCTCCTCTCTCCCACAGGGCCCCTGGCATCGCTCAGACCCTTCCTGAACTGCCTGTCTGGGACAGAGACCTTGGAGCGCTGGTAGGGCTTCCCACTCTGCTCTCACACCTTGCAGCACGACTGTTTCTTGTAAACCTTGCGGCTGTAGGGATCCTTATCCCCATTTCACAGAGCAGGAAACTGAGGCACGGAGGATGACTGGTGCAGAAGATTAAATGGGGCAGCTCCAGGATGAGAACTCAGTACTGTAGTCCACCAGCCCAGTGGAAATCCTACACAAACCACGAGGCAGATCAGCTCAAAAAAAAAAAAAAAAAAAAAAAAAAAAAAAAAAAAGCTCTTTTACAAAAAATATATTTATTTATTTATTAGAAAGGCAGAGTTATAGAAAGAGATCTTCTCATCTGCAGGCTCACTCCCCAGCTGGGGCTGGGCCAGGCTGAAGCCAGGAGCCCAGAACTCCATCCGAGTCTCCCATGTGGGTGGCAGAGGCCTAGGGATTTGGACCGTCCTCCACTGCCCTCCCAGGCACATTAGCAGGGAGCTGGTTAGGAAGTGAAGCAGCCAGGACTTGAACTGGCGCCCATACGGGTACCGCAGGCTGTGCCACGACTCCGGTCCAAGGTCCGCTTTGTGGGGAAAAGGACTCACAGCCTGTGTGAGTGTGTCTGCAGTCCCTCTGCACTGTCCCTCTGCCCAGAATTCTCCTGCTATTCCCGATCCAGGTTGCAGGATGTCAGAGTTGGAAAAATTCCAACCTCAGGTACCCGTAAGAGCAGAGATTCTAAAATCCAGAGAGGCGAGCAGCCTCCTGGATAAAGAAGCCCCTCGTGGGGCAGGCGTTTAGCCCAGCGGTTAAGATGCCCACAGCCCACACCCGAGGACCTGGGGTCAATACCCGGCTCCAGCACCTGATACCAGCTTCCTGCTGATGCGCACCTGGGAAGCAGTGGACAACCTGCCATCCACGTGGGAGACAGGATTGAGTGCCGGGCCCAGACCCGGCTGTTGCGGGTATTTGGGAGGTGAAGCAGCAGACTGAAGATCTCTCTCTCTCTCGCTCTCGCTCTCGCTCTGCTGGCTATGCCTTTCAAATTAATAAATACATCTTAAAAGCAGCAGCCACAGCTCCCCTGGGACCCTTGTCCTGGGCAGGAACACTCTCACAGGGAGACTTAACTCTCTGGGGTCGCAGGGCTAAGAGGCGACATTCCCTGAGCCTGGCACCAGACATTCTGGGTTCTAATCCCAGCGCTGCCGGGACCACCCTCTGGGTGAATGCCTTTACCCCGAAATGGCCTCTCGGCGCCCCGGCATTTCACAGAGGGCTCAGCCTTCTCCACGCTTGAGCTCACTCCGGTCTCATCACAGCTCGGTGGGCAGGTGCTATTATTACTGCCACAGAACAGGAGATTCCCAAGGTCACAAAGCCTGCAGGGACTTGAACCCCGATGCCGCCTGACTCCAGGTTAGAAGCACGTGCCCCGCACAGGACGGTCTTTCCTACTCTTCTTGGAACTGTTCCCTCCCAGGTCCCAGCCTCATGGTCAGAGACCCTGCCTGCCCGCGATGTCCCGGGCTTGGGGTGGGGGTGGGGGTCTCCGGGCCGATCTTGGTCCCGCCAGCGAGACGCAGAGTGCGGGGGTGGGATGGGGGGCGGCCGGGGGCGGGGCGGGGCGGGGGCCGCTGGCGGCGTCCCGCACAGTCTCACCGCAGGCCGCCCTTGACCTTATTTTTTTTAGTCAATTTCTCCCCAAACAAACCCCCCCCGAAGGCCCGTCCCCCCCCACCCGCCCGCGGCCTTCCCCCGGCAACCCGCCGCCCCCGGAAACTGCCGCCGCCGCTCCCGGGGAGGGAGAGCCGCCGCCCCCAGGTGGGCTGCGGAAGTGATCGCGAATCCTGCTCCGGTGACCCCCGCGACCAGCAGGGGCGCACGCCCGAGCGCGCGGGAGAGGGTCTCCGGGCCCGGGGCCTGAGCCGGGTCCGAGGATCGCAGGACAGCCCCCCCCATACACACACCCACACACGCGCGCTGCCTCCCCGCACCCGGCTGGGCGAGGCGGAGACGCCCTGGAGGGGAGAAGCGAGCGGCCGTGCAGGGCGTCGGAAGGCACCGCGGTCCCGCAGGGACAGGGACGGGCCCCGGGCCGGCGAGGAACCGCAGAGGAAACGCACTGTGTCCAGCAAACGGCTGAGGGGTGCTTGGCCTCTGGGTTGCTGAGGGAAATGCAAATGACGGCCGAGGGCGCTGCGGCTGCGCTGGGGAGGGGCGCGCGGAGTGGGGGCGCGCGCGGGGGTCGCGGGGCGTCGCTGTCCGGCCGCAACCCCAGTGACCGCTGCGGGGGCTCGCACACCATCGGGCGGCGCTCGGCTCGCGGGCGTGCAGCCAGAGACGTGCACTGGAAGGTTCTGCGCTGCACCGTGTGTAAGAGCAGAAATCCGAGCCAGAAACGAGCGCACTCCCGCGCAGCGGCGCCAGCGGGGCCGGGGCAGTGTTAGTAGTGGAGTCTGCAGAAAGCCAGTCCCACAAGATAAACCCTTAGCCTTCTGTGAAGTTCAAAACCAAGGCAAACCCTCTGTCTTTACAAATAGCGATGTTGGGAGGGAGTACATACTGAGAAATTATCTTTTAAAGATTTATTTGTTTATTTGAAAGGCAGAGTTACAGAGAGAGAGAGAGAGAGATCTTTCATTGGCTGGTTCACTGCTCAAACGGCCACAACCTGGGCTGAGCCAGGCCAAGACAGGAGCCAGGAGCTTCCTTGGGGTCTCCCATGTGGGTGCAGGTGTCCAGGGACTTCCGTCATCTGCTGCTGCTCTCCCCAAGTGCATTAGCAGGGAGCTGGATCAGAGGTGGAGCAGCCGGGACTCCAACCAGTGTCCATATGCGATGTTGGCATCCCAGGTGGCGGCTTTATCCGCTACACCACAATGCTGGTTGCAAGGAATTATTCCAACCCAGAAAGTGCAGTGGATTGATAAGCTACCAAAGGAATTCATAGTAATAACATACCTTTCTGTATCAGGAAGGTGTTCAAAATGTAATGGGAAATATCCTATTGAAAGCAGTCACCAAAATGTGAAATTCTTGCGGCAGGCACCTGCTGCAGTGCCTTGTGTCTCCTGAATCCTGTATCAGGTGCCCGGGTTCGAGTCCTGGCTTGACTTCTGCTTCCAGCTTCCTGCGGATGCTCACCCTGGGAGGCAGCGGGTGACGACTCAGATAGTGGAGCCCCTGCCACCTATGTGGGAGACCCAGGTCGAGTTCCTGGCTCCTGGGTTCAGACTGGCTGAGCCCAGGCTGTTGTTGGCATTTGGGGAGTGAAAAGAAGATGAGAACTCTTTAGTGCTCTCTTTCTCTCCTTTATCTGTCTCTCTGCCTTTCTAATAAATGAAAAAAAAATGGTATTAAAAAAAAAATAAGCTTGCCGGCGCCGTGGCTCAATAGGCTAATCCTCCACCTTGCGGCGCCGGCACACCGGGTTCTAGTCCCGGTTGGGGCGCCGGATTCTGTCCCGGTTGCCCCT